GCATATTTTTCATCTATTAATCAGATAACTTATTTGAAGACTAGCCCCCAGCTTATTTCATCTTAAGATTAACCACTATAACTCAAACATTACCTAATGCTTACCAAAACTTACCAAGCTTTTTCTAACCTAACCCCTCCCCAGGTATCATTAGGGTGTTTAATCATCAGGTGAAACAAGCTGGGGTGGGCTAGACTTTAGGTGAACCACAAAACCGTCAGATTAATACAATATATCAGATATCTATTATTCTTATGAGAAGCAAGTTACATTCATCATTAAATATATCATATTCTAGTACAGTATCTCAAACTATTTCCTTCTGAATAACAAAAATCAAAAAGGAATATGGTCACTGCACCAGATGTTGTTACATTCACTTCTTAAAATACTGCACAGTTCCTGGATCACCTGAAGATTACCTCCAAACTCATTTCATCTTATGATTAATCACCGCAACACTAACCTAACTCTGCAAGTAGCACTACTGTCTTTAATAGATCAGGTGAAATAAAATGGGGGGCTAATGTTCAGGTGACCCAACTATCTAAGTGAGAGGTTCGCGCAGTTTCTCACCAGGTGCTGTACCTCCCGAGTCACCAGACCCTCGACCTGTACCCACATCACTGAGACACTGCATATTGAATGGCACTGTACTACATTAACACTAATTCAATATAGAATGGCAGTGTTAAAACATATTTGGTGCTTGGAGAAGCTACAGTACTGTATAACATTATATTTACATCACCTCATGAATTTAATCTGTTGAAATTAGGACAGTATATTCTGTATTGATTTTCGCCAACCCTCAATGTACCTTCTGAAAACCTTCCTGTGTACCCCAGGGGTTTCATGAACCCGTTTGAAAACCCCTAAGTCTAAGGATTCGGCTAAAACCTGAATCCTATCCTGGTTCCATATGATGACATGTTTGTACTTTTTTGTTTTGGCAATTTTGGTAGTGTGTGATTGTTCTGCCAGTGTACAGTACAGTATGTTGGTTCCAGGTTGTAATGTCTTTTGACTTTGTGAGATTTTCCTTTATATTATTCAGTGTCAAGTATACTGTGTATGTATTCTGATCAATGAATGTTTATACATGTACAGTACAATATACTGCACATGTATGAATTCTCACCTAACACAACCAAATAAAAATCTGGTGGTGTGGTTGTCTGAAGCTATGGCGTTGAGCCCGGTCCAGTCCAGTACACAGACCGACTTAACACGGTTTTCATTTTGTGTGACAGTTGTCAGTCCTCCTCTTGTGTTAAATCAAGGTTGTTCTGCACTGTGTCAATATTGGGGGCAGGAATAAAAGTCATCCTCCCTAGACAAAAGATATAATGCCTGTTCATATTTAAATAAAATAAAAATAAAAAACGTTACATTTCAATAAACCTAACATGAGCTAGTCAAACTTTATATTAAATTACCATATAAGGGGATGAGACTTGACACCATGATGTTTCTTTGTGTGTAAAGCTGATGTTAGTGTTTGTCTATGGGCGTAAAAGTCAATTGTCATGCCAAGTTGAACCGCTGAACTTAAACACAACCAAAATATCTCTTTCTGGGGTAACTAATATCCTCCCCTAAATCACGATTATTTTTTCTTTTTCAATGTATCAGAATCAGATCAGGAGTTCAAAATTGATACGATCCTCATTTTTATACAAACACAATACTGTATAAACCTTTGGCTCACAGACAGATACAGGGGTTCAAAAACATTATAATGCCAAGTTCAAATCCCTCAATATGAACCCTTAACACAAGCCTCTGTATAAAAATGCACATACAAACTAGTATACAACATAATACTAAAGCAGTGTCTGATGGGACAAGTTGTATTACTCATACACAAACAGTCGGAGTGGTAAACATACATGCAAAGTTTGAAGAGAAAAAATCAACGAAGGTGATTTTTAAATAAAGTGAGATTCATAGCTGAGTCTCCTATAAGTAAACCACTCAAGAATTCTGATAGACTCATGATAAACAGAAATAGATTAAGTTTATGCATGAGACAATTTGCATTTTATTTGCAAGTGAGGACTCTCTCTATTTAAATTCTATATAGCGATCTCGATGGAGTTCAAAAAATATTTCCTCAGTGTATATACATCACCAAGTGTGGTGTGTAGATTACGTCTATGTATGGAACTGATAAAGGAGCCAAGACAAGAACCTCATTTCACCAAAGAGTAACAGCCACTGTTATCATCAGATGTATCTAACTTAACCTCCAATATACTAATGTAAAATTTTCATGGTAATATAAAATGAAAATACAGTATTAAGATAATTATCTATGTAAAAATATAATATTCACATTTACCTTTCAATATAAAACCTATCCTCACCTTAAAGATATACTGTATAGGGCATCCATATTTTATCTTACCCATTTCAAAGCCCAATCTCAAATATATCATAGAAGTGATGCACAGTGTAAATCTACTAACTAGAAAAAAATACTGTTGAGTTGTTGGTCACATACAGTATAATAAAACTGGCTCCTCTACCTATAATGTTTTGGAAGTTATTAATATTTAAAGCTGGTCTGACAATTTATGGACATCCTGTATAAGAAATTCAGTACAGTACAGGGAAGTCATCAATCCAGTGAACTATTTCCCCATACCAATAAAAATAATCGGCCCAACTCCAGAAATGGAATACAAATGCACCAGTCGTACACAGTACTGTAACCTTATATATGGAAACCATCTTAAATATTAATTTACACTGACACTACAGTACAGTATTTCTATATAAATGACCACTTACACTTTTGAAAACAATACTAGAGTCTAATATTAGGGCATTGGTAATATAGATGGTCAACATTTTATATAATGTCCACTTCCAGACATCCTCCAGGACCTCAGCCTTTAGAAAGTCTCAATACCATACTGGGGGAGAGGTTTTTGTTATGGGATGTAAAAAACTATACAATCTTGCCTTACAGATTTCCACGGTGATCATTTGAATGTTACCATCACAACAGTCTTCACTTGTTGATGTACGAGGCTCCCACAATGTTCTGAGAGACCTCGCACATCGACGAGTGAGGACGATGTTGTTGTTACAATACAAACATTCACACAATCCTCCCTAAAACTCTATAAGGCAGCGTAGACATTTTTCAAGACACCCTATAGTACTTAAATTTAAGTCTTGGAATTACTGAAGGAAAATTAAGACCCCAAGTACCTGTATGATATTCTTCACCAACAAACAATTTCTAGATAAACACCCATGACAACATCTGTCTATACACAATAAAGGAGCACATGAATAATGGCACCCCTGATTATTTGACCTGCTGATGAAACGCCTTCACACTTCACTACCTGGGAGATTGAGTTAGGTTGGATATCATGCCAAGTGGTCATGGGGTGCTAATCCTCATGTAATCTAAATAAAAATCTTACGCTTTTCCTATATATTTGTTCTAATAAATTTCATAGTTTATTTAACCAGTAATAAAATACACATAACTATATTGTTTGTGCTTCATTGTTTCATGTAGTTTATCACATGATTGTTTACTAATTACTGATCACATCACTATTTTCTCTTCAAATGGCAGCTAGCATGGAATACACAGCACCTTGTATCAACCACCAAATACATCCTCAACAAGATACCATCCCAGAATACACTAAAAATACCCCAATAGAATCGGTGATCTTTTGAATACAATAACTTTACAGTTTATTCACCTGATGATTTAATACCCTAATGCAATCTGAGGGGGTTTGGTTAGGTTAGCATTTTGGTGGTTAATCATAAGGTGAAATAAGCTAGGTGGCAAATTTTCAGGAGTTCCACTAATGGTTTTAATATATCTTTCATTTGTTATGCTCATTCTTGTGTGGTGTGGGATGGGCAGTCTGGATTACCACTACCTTCTACCCTGTACTCCCAGCTCTTTCACTTACCCTCATCTGTGTTCCCTAATAAACTTACTCCCAGTTGGTCAAAGATTATATACATCGAGTCAAGTCTTCTATTATAAACAACTTAAAATTCCTTTTCATGATTCTCCAGGTCAGTAACCTATGTTCTCACTTAACCTTGTTCAGTACAGTACTCTCCAACAGCGTAACGGAGCCCATACTTGTCTACAGTGTATAACATAGTCAATACATGCCCAGTGCTTGTCAACAGTGTGTAACAGAGCCCATACATGCCCAGAGCTTGTCAACAGTATGTAACAGAGCCCATACATGCCCAGAGCTTGTCAACAGTATGTAACAGAGCCCATACATGCCCAGAGCTTGTCAACAGTATGTAACAGAGCCCATACATGCCCAGTATTTGTCAACTCCGATTAACAGTGAACAGATCGACCACTTGACTGGCTAGAAAGCTGACAAGCAGCAAAGAAGAAGTCAAGTAGATAATGTGACCAATAATGAGTGTGTAATGTTTATTAGTCACAGTAAAAAAATTAATATTTGCATTACCTCAGTAAAGCATAAATAATGTTACTGCACAAATGATGCACCATTATGCTTTAACCACATCATAGATTATTTAGTGCCATTATAATTTTCTAACAAACATGAATTCAGTTCTGTTTAAGAAATATCAAAGAAAAACACACAAAGTAAACAAGAACTAGTGAACAGGTGATCCTAAACACCTGGAGGCTGTTGACAGGCAAAGGCATGTCCCTGGCTGGCTGCTGCATCACTTACTGTAAACCTTCACACCTCTACAAGGAATATTTTAAAGTAAATAGACAGATGTGAGCAGGGGGTTACCGCAGCCAGTGTGACACTACTGAACACGGCAGGTTTTCTCCAGGTACAGTACTATGGTTTCCTCCTGTACTAATGATGGTCATAACAAAAAATAAACCAACTGCGTGAGCAACTAGCATGATGATATATAGTGAAATAATAAATTAAAATTAATAATCAACACTCATAAATATAAACAACAACTTCAATGCAATGTCTTAAAAAAACTGTTACCACAAAAAAGTTCCTTATTTTTATTATGCCCACAATCTTCTTACTGTAATTTTATAACAATGACATAAAACATTTTTACCATGAGACTAAAAAAACAACACACATTCTCCCTCCACCACTGTAGATCATTCTCTTTAGCTGTCCATACCATGTTTATTCTACAATGATGTTCATATTTCATACCAAGGATGCAAAATACACCCATTACATAACACACAAGCACAGTATCACATGCAGGCCTCTGTGTAACCATAAGAAGCAGTCGACATGTTGGCTTCTGATCATGGCAATAAGTCAGGGGTAAAGTGAAGTACAGCAGGTAGATTGGTTATGTATACTGAGGGAAAAAATCACATTATACATGAAGAAAAAAAATAATATTAATTTACCATAAATAAATTTATGTTTAGGTTCCTTTTTATTGAAGCAGAACTTGAATGTGGGAAAACTGACACCAAAATAAAGACGAGCAGAACTACATTATCATCAACATCTTAAGCTTCAACCTTCAACATTCACCATCAAACATACTGTACAGTACCTGAAACGTTTGATGTTGAAGATATTAAATGATGTTATTCTTTGATGATCTAACGCCCCATAGTGGCTCTGATGTTTAAAGCAGCTTATATTCTTCGATAGTTAAGTGACTCAAGCACTAACTGTAGCCTGTCATCTAGTACAAGAGACCATTTATGTAACAGATTATGTATCATATGTTCTTAATACAGAAAATCATGTAGTCCTTTTATTCTCAATACAGTTATGCTTTGGTTAAATTACAATATCCATACAGGAAATACAGAACAAAGACATAATAAGTAACCCGATATATTTACTCCTATAATGAACAAAAAAATACAATATTATAAAGAGGCTCATATTTAATACCAATATTATGACAGTTTTATTCAATTTGATCTTCATATTTGACAAGTTTACAATCCCGAGATGGTGAACTGGCTCACAACCTGGGCCAACCTAACCTAACCATTACAATGAACACTGCCAGAATGAGCCCCAGTCATCATAAGCTCCAATCTTAAGGGGGCCCCCATCATCATAAGCTCCAATCTTAAGGGGGCCTCATCATCATAAGCTCCAATCTTAAGGGGGCCCCATCATCATAAGCTCCAATCTTAAGGGGGGCCCCAGTCATCATAAGCTCCAATCTTAAGGGGGCCCCAGGCATCATAAGCTCCAATCTTAAGGGGGGCCCCAGGCATCATAAGCTCCAATCTTAAGGGGGCCCCAGTCATCATAAGCTCCAATCTTAAGGGGGCCCCAGTCATCATAAGCTCCAATCTTAAGGGGGCCCCATCATCATAAGCTCCAATCTTAAGGGGGGCCCAGTCATCATAAGCTCCAATCTTAAGGGGGCCCCAGTCATCATAAGCTCCAATCTTAAGGAGTCCCCAATCCTGATGGCTAGTTTAATCTAAGGTGGGTCCTATTAAAACTGGGGCCCATTTGAGCTACAAGATTACTGTATATAAAGTGCTTAGGCCATTAGACTCCACTATATACATTAACCCAAGAAAAATCGTGTACCAAATAAAGTATTCTCCTCACAAAACACTAATCAGACCCCTGCCATACAAAAATACCAGAAATATATTTTTTTTCCACATCAAAACTGATATAGTGTAGCGCTATGGGTCATATGAAGATTAGGCAACTCGGTTTATTTCACCTGATGATTGTTAGGTTTGGTTAGGTTGTTAGATTAGGTTAGGTTAGCATTAGGGTGTTTAATCATCAGGTGAAACAAGCTGGGGTGCCTAAGGTTCATATTATCCATTACTAACATATTTTTGTTCCACAGTTTAGCATTTAGTTCTGATAAAACATTAACAAGGAAGTGATTAACATTTAGAAATTCACTCCAATTGCTCAGATGCTCACTCAATGATCAAACAAACTAGAGTGGTCAGAGAACTCCCCAGCAGCACACAAGGACCTCCCCAGCAGTACACTAGGACCTTCTCAGCTACAGACACCTTCAGCAGTAGACAATATTAATTTACCACTGAACAATATGGATTCACAAATCACTCTATACATTCCTTTGGCAAATTTAATACATTAGCAAGATATGTGTGGGGTATTCTTTCTTAACCTTAATCCTTCCTGCTTGTTCAAATTTCAGGTAATGCATTCACATGAAGATTAGACCCCCCACATATTTCACTTGATTAACCACCTTAACACTAATGAAACGGTTTGGTTAAGTTTGGTTAATATTGTTTTAGGTTATGTTATGTTAGGTTAAGTTAAGGTTGGATAAACTTACTTGATAATTAGGTGTAATAAGCAAGGGTTTCTATTCTTCATGTCGTCACTACCACAAACTTTACTAGAAAGTATCAAGAATATTTAGAGTAAAGAATAGATACAGTAAACTCACTTATGTTAAATGGAACCAAGATAAACTTTTTTCATCCTACAAAAGTTTCCTGTTGTTGGTCAGAAAGTTTTAGTTATTGCTACTGAAGAACTGAATGATTTTAATTCCCCCTTGCACTCGTAAAATATAACAATATAGTTCTTTGTTATACAGTATAGTCCAGTGTCCTATATTACTATTTACATTGTTCTACTTACAGTAAATATTAAAAATACAGTACTGACAATATATGTTGGAAGTGGATACCATTAACCAATATTTACTATAAGTACAACAAGGTGTATGACAATATAGGTACAGTACAGCAAGAATCAACTATGCCGCCTTGTTAATTACTAGATACACAGGGAATTGTCAATCAGCTGTAGTATGATTCACTTAAGCCAAACTATTAATCTGGTTAGGCCTCTTCCTTTCAAGCATCATCCTATCGAGTACTGATCTGGACTAAAAATGACCAACTCATCCTCATCATCAACAAACCTATTTAATAAGTTTCTTGTGCTGACGGTTTCTTTACGTTAACATATTGTACTCTTATATACACTTACAATCCAAATTATACTCAAAACAGAATAATACATATGCAAAAACTTTTAAAATAATAAAACTAATACAGTAAGTATGAAATTCTAAATGTCCTATGTATCAAGATTTTATGCCTGTACAAAAATCTAATTATGTTTTTCACTTTAAGCTGTTTTGCACATTTATTTTCATGATGTTTTCTGAATCGACTGTAAACTAACTAGTATACATATAAATACAGCACACTTTAACTTTACAATAACTCAATTATTGTAGCACATCAGTAATATAGCATCTGTCACTTCCTAAACCCACATACACCATCTCTTCTATCATGAGGTCATTTCTTAAGATGGGCACGTACACCAACAAACACTCCCTCTTCATTCTCTGGCTAGGTATAAGGTTTACTGAGGCCTTAATACGCACACACACATCCTCACTCATCTGCTATCATTCATTCTGTCTAGATATCAGGTTTAGTCAGGCCTTGATATAACAGTAAAATGTTCCACCAACCAATACAGGAAATGTCGGTCGTACGTCAATTTCCCGTCTCGTGGGATACGTTAATGAGTGAAAACAATTATCGAGGTACCGTAGCTTAATTGGAGGTGCTCTGGACTGAACCCTAGAGGGGGGACATGTTCAGGTTCAAGTCCATGCCTGGAAAGCTTGGTAAGGTGTTATCTGCTGTGCACCTTACTGTGCATTGAGCCAGCCACTTACCACATCAATGCCCTAAGATAAGTATTATCCTTCTTGTCTGGGCTGCCAACCCGCATTTGACAAAGGACTTCAGTATAAACATCGTTAAGTGTATACTGTAAACTACTTGGTGAACTATGTCGTTTCATATGGGTCATCTTTGAGTGATTAGATAAACTATCTTCACAAAATAAATTTAGGTTTGTGAAGAGCTTCCTAAGTCACAATTTCCTTAACTACTGTTCATTTATCTTAAAAATTGTCATATGGGAAAGATAAGTTTTAACTTCATTTTTTTTATCTATGTGATGGTATCTCCCCGATTGTCCTTATATATTTCTTAGTTTCATTAAATCAAACAAAACATTTATTATCCAGTTATGGTCCAGTTAGCAAATATTTTTTTAATAAAGAGAAACCTAAAGGAAATAATTCTTGTTTATATCAATGTGATGATACAAGTGGAATAAATTGTCAAAAAAAAAGGCAAACTTCAATACACTACATGTACAGTACAGTATTTCAGAGAGCATTAGCTGTATGAAGGATCGAGGCAACACTCTCAGTCATATTAACACGTATTTTTCCACCTTCTACACTCGTCTTGCACCACTCTTTTTGGACCTCCTGAGGATTAGATGCCCCAGCTTATTTGACTTGAAGATTAGACACCCCAGCTTATTTCAACTAAAGATAAAACCATCCTAATGCTATCTGATGAAGTAATGTTAAGTTAGGTTAGGGTGGTTAGTTTAGTTAGGTAAGGTTGGTTAGAGTAGGATAGGGTCATTAGTTGAGGTTAGGGTGGTTAGTTGAGGTTAGTTTACTTATGTCAGGTCAGGGTTATTAGGTTAGAGTAATTCGTTTAGGTTAGGGAGTTTCATCTTCAGGTGAAAGAAGCTATGATGTCTAATCTTCAGGTGAAATAGGCTTGGAGTGTCCAATCTTCATAGGCATTAAGCTGAGAAACAAATTTTCATATGTAATAAACTGATGGGGACCTACTCTTCAGGTGAAATAAGCTGTGGCGTCTAATAATCAGATAAAATAGGATGGTCGAGCTACAGTAAACTTCAGGTGATCCAAAAATTCACTTACTTCCTTGATGTTTGAAAACTTAACGGTAGGTCATCTTAAAGTATCAACTACATGTATATAACAAAGTAACCTTAAATTTTAGGGTCAATACAAATATGGATCAAAATAAACATATGTTATATAATATGGGGCAATATTAAGCCTCTGACCAAGACCTAGATAATCTTACTAAAACTGCAGGTAAGGTTAGATTAGGTTGCAGGTAAGGTAAGGTAGGGTGGAGTAGGGTAACGTAAGTTTAGGGTAGGGTAAGGTAAGGTAAAGCAAAATTAGGTAGGGTAGGATATGTTACACTGTTGTTACATTAGGTTTAGTACAGCCTTGGTTTTAGTGTCCAGGTCCAAATCAGAGGATTCATAAGTCTCTTTTATGTGTGCCTTTGTCATCTATACCGACCAAAAATATTACTACTATTATTCACTACTGAAGTATAAAATATATACAAATTCTTAAACAAGAAAATATTTTTCATACTTTAAAAACTTATACAAAAAATGAAGTAGTGATGGGTCAAGGAATGTAAAATATTTACACCAGAAAGAGCAAATAGATTATTTTATTTCCTTTCATGTTCCATTTATATAAATTCATTCCATTTTCTTTTCATAATTAAAGTGTCTGGGATCTGAAACTCTCAAAATCTCTTTTACCGTTAACTGCAAACACCACAGACGTGCACACCTGGGTACACTGCACACAGACTTACATGTACACACACACACATTATACTAATGCAGACCAATGTGAAATATATTCTTATACCCAGAGGGACATACCCCTCTTAAGTATACCTTCTGCTAAAGGTTAAATGTCAGGAAATGGCATAAAAGTCGACATATTATATTATCAAGTCTAAAAAAAGGTATAAGGTACATGCTATATTTAAAACCTGTTACTGAATCTCATCCTGTAGTCTGGAATACTGTACATTATGGTACTGTACTGTATTCAAGCAAGCTAACTGAATACTATAAATAAATCACAGATTTTGACAACTGTTCTACATTTCAGGGCTTTTATTTTTCAGAGTTGATAGAAGAAATAGATGTGCCACTGTGCCAGCACCTTAGAAAATACCAAATTAATATCAAAGAGGCATAATCAGTGTAATATTTTGTTTTGTATAATAATAGATATATTGTTTTATGTTTAAAATTGTACACAATCTGTATTATATTAATTCTAATGCCTACAATATATATATATATATATATATATATATATATATATATATATATATATATATATATATATATATATATATATATATATATATATATATATATATATATATATATATATATATATATATATATATATATATATATATAAGTCAGTGAAAATCAATAAGTGATAAACAACCCTCTGAAAAAATATAGCCTTCCTAAGCCAAATATCCAAGTTTTCCAGTATCTGGGCTGTATCTTCCTCACAGCTTACTCAGCTTAATCTTAATGGGGCACTTCCCTATACAAAATTATCTTAAGGAAAATGTACAAAACTTTAATCCAATAAAATTTCAAAACTTTGAACCCTAAAAAAATAATTTAAAAAGTTTAACAGTGAGCCACAAGTATTTATATACAGCAACTAGTAAGGTGTAGCGACGTATGGCCTCCTCTCACACTACTGGTGGTGCACCACACCAGCTTCAAACCACACTTCCATAGTACTGTACTTAAAATGACTTTCTAACCAATGATTATTATTCATCTGTTAGCTGTACAAGATGCCAAACTTTATCATCAAAGACAGAAAGTGACAACTATTTCATCAATAACAAATTTTTTGGACAATTACAGTAATAAAAAAAATAATAATAAACAACACAGGGTCTACATGGTTAATTACAGACACCCCATAAAGACAAAGAAACTAATACAGGAACAGGGATCTTCTGGGGGCTAGCATACAAGAAGGGCGTGGTCTTAGCTTTGGTGATCTAGTCGGGCCAGTAGCCTCTCCACTGCTGCATTCACGTCACCAAAGGTTGCAATAAGGGCTGCAGGGAGAAAGACATTCTTATGTACTGTGTCTTGTGTAATTAAAACTATTAAATTGGCTTAAACTTTTTGAGGAAGATAATAGCAGTATAACACTAGAACTAATTAATTATTCTTATTATAATAATCAACACCAGCCTCTCTTGTCAGGTTATCTCTCCCCATGTCATTCTTGGCCTACCCCTAGCTCTCCTCCCCTCGACCAAAACCATCTCCTCCATTATTTCTAGCAACACCTCACCAATACTCTCAATACCCAGCTGCCCTCTTATCTCTCAACATGTTGCACATTAATATTACCATTACAAAAACAGTGAACAATCAAAGGTGTAAAGAAGGATTCCCATTATCATAATTTCACATGTCCATTTTGCCATCCATCAGCATAACACCAAGCTGTATTAATCTTGTTTCAGTACAGTGAACAAGAAGACACTTACCTTGGAGGTTTGCTTCACGATTAATGAATCCCATGGCAGACAGTTGTTCCAGTTGTGATGCATACTGCTGTTCTGGGTTACCTCCTCCACCACTACCCCCGGTGCCTCCTGTTAGTGCCTGCGACTGTCGATAAATAGTTAAGCATTTCAGAAAGATCCATATGTGAGGCATAAAGTATGACACTAAGTGCCCTTGAATAAATGGATGGATTATCTGAAGATTAATAATCCCAATTGATTTCACCTGATGCTACCTGGTGGGGATTTAATTAGATTATGTTAGCAAAAAGGTGTTTATCACCAGGTGAAACAATCTGTGGGACCTAATCTTCAATAGTGTACTAATTTTACTGAAAGGTATACAGTGGTACCCAATTCTCCACTCCAATTGGGAATCACACCTGGAACCCTGCACCTGTGAGACTAATGCCCTACCAACTCTCCTAACAAAATACAAGAACTGTTTTCCATCTCATCTTGAACTGTCTTCCAGTGCATTGTTTCCCTCACCCTTGTGTGTTTTGCTGGAGAAACTTACTTCTTCATTTACTTGTAAGGTAACCCTCCACTGTACATATTCACACTGGTGCTTATTTTCTACCGTGTCTTCATCAACTCTCACTCTTCTCATCATCAAACCTTCTCTTTTAGTGATAAAGGAGGAGGTCCAGCAGGGATGTAAAAGGGATAAACTTCCTAACTTACAAGACTGGAAAACTGTTATTCCTTTAGTTAATGGAAGTTATGTGTATCCTTTATCAGTGAAAGAAATGAACACTGTTAAACATTTATTTATTCTTTAACTTGACAATTCAGTCCCCGTTTTGAAAACAAAAGCTGCAATACACATTTTTATTCTGGGAAAAGGAATTACATCGCCTACTCATGAATTGTCTCATCTGTACATGGAGACAACAAGTCACTCCTGTAAATTGAATTTGTATTCCATATCTTTGTTCCCTGTTCATGCTTACCATAGTAGACATTAAATTTGCAAAAGCATCAGTGCCCGGAACAAGTCCAGACAAACCACCGCCTGGTGGAGTAGCTGTAGGTGCACTGCCTGTAGTTGTAGATGCTGTTGATGTAGTGGAGCTGGTGGAGGAAGTTGTCGCCGATTGATTTGAGCCTCCTGCAGACGGAATGACTGGTGGTACGCTTAGTCCCATGGAGTTGAATAGACTTGGAGAGGTTTGTCTAAGTTGCTCTAAGCCACTCTGTATCTGAGCCACTGCTGACAGTGCCTGCAATTCCCCCCAAAATTTTACTTAATATTTTCCCTTTTCTATGATTAGTATAACAATCCTGAGCTTATGTTTCTTCTCTATACAGCTTGTTCAGTGTAAGGTGCCATATACTATACAAGTTATGTACAATGAGAATCTTCACAGGTCTATGTATAAATCTATAAAAGGCCTATTAGCAGTGAGGCCCACTTGACACATCACCAAACACACAATCATAATTTACATATGAAATGTGCTTCTTGGGAGAGGTTAACCTCCTTCCAAAGACTGAAATACAGTATTTGATAGAAGATATCTGTCTTCATATTGTTTATCAATAATGCTATTTTCTGGTGCTTAACATACCTGTGGATTGCTCATAAAGTTCTGAACCTCGGGGTTTTGCATCTGATTAAGGAAAGTGGGTAGCATAGTTCGCATCTGCTCTTGAAGAACTTGGTTCCCAGCAAATAAGGGATTTGAACCAATAATTTGTTGAGCTAATTCTGGGTTGGATGACAGACTCTATGGAATAAAGTATAGCATTAGTCAGTACTATTCAAATAACATGTTCTATGGGTCAATTATCACAAACAATACATGAGAAGAATTCAAGTGCTGAAAACCAATGTGAATCCCAGATAATGAAGAACATACACACATTTTCTAGTTGTAGAAGCATTATTTACCTGGAACATGGCTTGGGTGTATGGAGCATTGATCATAGATGACATCAACTGTGGGTTCTCCATCATCTGTTGCATAAGTGATTGCATTCCTGGACTTTGCAACATCCCCGACAACCCCAGTCCACCCAAGCCTGGGGTAGTCGTGGAATTGGAGGACGTAGAGGTAGTATTTTGAGATGTCGTGTTGGCGGTGCTTGTGCTTGACGAAGTTGTGGCTGGCGTGGTGGACCCTGGTGTTGACCCGCGTGGTGCCCAAGGGTTTGGCATGGGGTCACTATTTTCACGGCCAGCTTGGGCAGCATCTTCTCAATTTAGGGAAGAAGAAAGTCATAAGGTAAGATATAAGGAAAATAAAAGTATCCACTACTCAGAGAGTTAAGCTCTGAACCTCAAGAACTATTTCATAGTTTGTGTGGCAACAGAGCTTTTCTGTTAGCTGTGTTACAAGCAATATTTTCAGAAACATCACCACTGGGTAATGGGTAATCATTCCATTCCCATGTCCTTTAGAACTCTGCAACCAGAGGAGAGGAAGAGACAAAGCTGGGACATACTTAAACAATTCCAAATCTTCCCCTTCATGTGAAAAAATGTTTCCCACTACACACAAGGGTTTTCATGAAGATTAAAGCCCTCACTTCTTTCACCTGATCATTAAACACTCTAATGCTAACCTAACCAACTCCTTCCATAATATATCTCCCTAAACCTCTCTTACAATTCTCACAAATTTCCTTCAATTGTACAACAGACCTTCGATATTTTGGATCTCAACCTTTATAAAAATCTTCCTGTCCACCTCACACACTCTTTACAGTACTGCCAGACCACACACTCTTTACAGTACTGCCAGACCACACACTCTTTACAGTACTGCCAGACCACACACTCTTTACAGTACTGCCAGACCACACACTCTTTACAGTACTGCCAGACCACACACTCTTTACAGTACTGCCAGACCACACACTCTTTACAGTACTGCTAGATCACACACTCTTTAATTCCATAAGCTAAGACCTCCTTCATCACCTTAATTTACACGTTGATGTACCTTGAGTAGTACCAAGAGTGACACCCCCCCCCCCATCTCCTTCCTATCATCCACCTCTCTTTCTTATACACTCCTTTAATAAATCCTTCTCTCCACATCACCTCACTAAACCCTGGTCAGATATATTATATTTCCAACATTTCTTGAGAGTTCTATGTCTCCTCTTCATTTCTTTGACAAAAAAAAAAAGAGATATTCTATGATGATTAGCACCCCAGCTTATTTCACCTGATAATTAAACACCCTAATGCCATCTTATCTTAACCTCCCCCCACAGGTAGCATTAGGATGCTAAACCGTCAGGTAAAACAAACTCGGAGTTGCTCACCTTCATATGATTCAGAGTAACTTTATATAATCTTACCAGCAGCACTGTTGTTACCCATGAGAGAAGCGAAGGGATTTGGACCAAACTGTTCCTGTGCAGCGTTCAGCATGGGTTCCTGAATATCTCTGTACATTCTCTGTAGGGCGCTGTACCCACCTGTAAAGTACAATGACAACACTCAGACGTGCTGTGTTAGTCTGTCTACACCGAGTACCAGAGTTATTAGGGTACACACACACACCCCTGTTCATATATGTTGCTTGTTGTTGGTGGTGTACACAATGCTGCATATGTTGTTGGTGGTGTACACAATGTTGTATGTTGGTGTGTACACAAATGTTGCTTGTTGTTGATGGTGTACACATTGCTGTATGTTGGTGGTGTACACAATGCTGCATATGTTGGTGGTGGTGTAAATCAATGTTTCCTGAAAACACTTCTCAAAGAATGGTTCAGTACACTTAACACACATCTGCTTAATCTTTGTAAACCTTCCTGCTGTATTGTACACAGGTAGTTAAGGTAGGGTAGCCTTTAAGACCAACATGGTGTAGTGGATAAGCTGCCCGACTACCAACCGTGGTGGCCTGGGTTTGATCCCAGCACCCAGAAGTGAAAATTGTTTACATTTATAATGCTTTATCACCTCAAACCATAATCCACATTCTCCTGAGATGAAATAAGTGTATTATTCTATGGCCACCTTACCAATGCCTACACATCAGTTATGAGATAAGAGAATTCACCACTACAATATATCCTCACTTTGTTTTGTTAAAAAATGGCTCTCTTTAGACCCCCAGATTCTGATGATGTTTTATGACCTGCCCGATTCCTAATATCGCTCTCATTTTAAATGGCATGTAGAATATGTTCTCTCGTGTGTACCATCTGGCTTTCCACACATGAATCTTAAACAAACTCTTTCCTCTAATGTTAATTTCTCTGTCATCTTCACTAAGTTGATTCCTTTAAATTAAAAAAAGGGGAGGGGGGGAGGGCAATCAATATTCCTATGGTGTAAGAACATAAGAATGGAGGAAACTGCAGCAGGCCTATTGGTCCATACTAGGCAGCCCCGTTTACACCCAACCCCTATCGCTCATATATCCATCCAACCTACTGTATGCTTGAAGCTACACAGCGTGTTGAAGTTTACGATGATGTTTGGTAACTTGTTCCACTCATCCACTACTCTTTCCAAACCAATGTTTACCCATCTCACGCCGAAATCTAAATTTGTCCAATTTAAAACCACTGCTACGAATTTGCTCCTGGTTGGGTAGTTGAGTACCTCTGTTATATCACCTTTGTTTAACCCAGACTTCCATATATACACCTCAATCATATCGGCCCTCACTCTAAGTCTCAAGGAAGTGCAAATTAAGATGCAATAATCTGTCTCTGTACTCCAGGTTACTAATGCCCGGGATTAGTCTTGTCATCCTCCTCTGGGGAGAACATATGTACTTATGTGAGCACTTTCACATTATCTTCCATACGGTACTTGTTTTGGGTCACTCTTTCCATTCCTATCTTGTCCCCTTGATCCACCCAAACAAAAGTAGGAGGGAGTTAACTGTAACAGGAACATTCAATCCTGTATAATAAATGATCTAAGCCATTTCTTTAGTTAAAAGGGAACTTTTTAGCTGCCAACAGCCTCAGTGTGCTTCAGTGGTGCAGTTTTCTTTTAATTTCCATGTTTGTGGACACTCTAGATACATTCATAACTAAACTCACCTACTAACCTGGAATTGATTCAAGATTGGAGAGTGCTCGATCATGAGATCTCATGAGCTCTTGCAACATAGCAGGATTTCGGGCAAGTTCCATTGTCTGTCTCAGCATCTCTGGGTTGTTAAGCATGTGAGAAATTTCAGGATTGCGCTGTGGACAAAAAAACAATATGTTAGTTCTCAGGTAGCAATAAGTTGTTCAATCAACAGGTGAGCTAATCTATATGTGAGGCTAAATGCTCGTGTCAATACTTACTTCCATCAGCTGTTGCATCTGTGGGTTGGAGGTGATGATGGCACGCATATACTCCGGGTTATTCATCAGCTGCTGGACGAAGGGATTATCCATTATCTGTCTCATCATTTCTGGGTTACCGAGCATTTCCCTTTGCATCCGTTGCTGCAGCTCTTGAAAGTTGGGGTTACCTATCCCCATGCTTCCTAGCCCGCCCAGTCCGCCCATACCGAGGCCGCCTAACCCACTCAACCCAGCAAAGGGGTTAGGCGAGTTGGCCTGGTTGTTGGAGGCTGTGTTTGAGCTTGTGGACGGGGTGGCTTGGTTGCTTGTGGTGGAGGTGGAGGGACGGTTGTTGGGTTGTGTTCCTCCGCTCGATCCGCCCTTGATGACTAAGTGCACTGTCAGGCCATCCTTAATGTTATGATGATTCAGCTTCTCACCTGTCAGAAACAACGATTGATTTAAATAACAAAATACACAGGTAATTCAACATTAAACTCACTATTAAAACAACTAAAACACACTTGACTACACTATTTGTTTACAACTACAGTACCTCGCCCTTTCCTCCCACATCAAAGTCATAATAATACTAATGCTACAGTCAGCCCATCCATCTGTAGTACATTACCTGGTAAGAACTTAATAAATTTATCATTGATGCCTATCCCCTGAACTTTCCCTTAAGGATAATAATAATAATGGAAGCCCCTCAAATTCGAGGATGGTCGGCCCAAGGGCCTCCTAGGCGTGAATTTGTTAAGGTGTAGAAGCTGTTGCCAACACAACAACCACACCCTAAGTTAACGAGCTGCATGACCCAGTGTCAAGGAATAGTCCGAGAAGCATGGACAGCTTGCTAACTGCACTGGCTAACCATTACCCTGGAATATGATTAACATCCAGGTTCCCAATTACTACTGGGTAGACAGAGGTAAATGGCGTAAAGAAACTTGCCCATAGTTTCACCCTGCTCGAGGATCGAATTTGGGTCCGCTCGCTTGCGAGGCGAGGATGCTGACCATTACACCACAGGTCGCCACCCTTAAGGATATACAGTACAGTATTTACCCTATTTACTACAAAAAGAAAATTTAATATAATCAGCCTACGGTATTTCCACTAAAACAAAAAAAAAACAAATATCCCATCACTTAACATTGCCCTAGAATTACCAAAACTCACTCTGAGTATTTCACACAAACACACAAAAGACTTACCATCCTTCAATATTTTACCAGCAAATATGAGGCAGACTTGCTCCAGAGCCGCATTAAACTTTTCACTGACCACCTCACGTAGCTGAAAGGAGAGAGAGAGAGAGAGAGTTATGAGGGTATTTAAACCACCTTAAGTCTTCATTAACATTGTGTTCTCGTACTTTCAATCTTAGTATAGAGGTACAGTACAGTATTTAATTTCATCATCCAGTTATTCAAGTTATGGTTTGGTTCACCTGAGCTCATTTCACCTAATGATTAAAACACCTTAACACCAATCTAATATACCCTAAAATAGTTCTAGTATACAGTATATAATCTTGTCGGGTTACCATTTGGTAGTCCGTCAATATTATTGGAAAATTCGGGATAAGTCCTCGGGTGTGGGTAGGCACCCGAGAGACTTATCCCTCAAACTAGTTACAGTATATATGAATAGAAAACGTCTCTGACATACAATACTATACGTAAATTAAGAGGAGATAATAAAGAAAATAAATATTTAAATGTCCTAATTACCAGTTCCAATGGAAATGTATATATTTTTAAGAGATCGCCGTGTACCCCCGTGGCGTCGTACCTTCAACTCCGAATATTTTTCGTCTCCCCATCGCCCTGCTCCAATTTTATCAAGTACATTGCATTCCTACAATCATCCTTTTATAGCTTCAAGTATGGTAAGTAACACACTTTTGTTTAATAGATAGCTGTAATGCAATTTCCAATTCGCCAATACAGGCAGTCCCCGACTTACGACCGACTCGTCTTACGTCCACCCGCACTTACGACCGCCTCAGTCGTACCAAAATGTGGTCAAATTATGTATTTTTGAGTCCCAAAGTCAGGACACAGACAAAATTTTCATCTGTAATTCACTTTAAAATGGCTGGCAAGCTTAAAAGTGAGTGTTTTGTGGTGCTGAGAATAAAAAGAGACCCAAATTTTCGATTTTCTATGTGTTATTTAAGCAGGTTACTTAAAATATTTTTTTTAGAAGACATGTTCAAATTCAGGGTAAGAAAAAAGTGCCAAAATTGATTAATGATGTTTTCAATCACTCGATTTAAATCGTGTCAGTTCTATCTTGCATCACCGGAGCAACAATAAACAAAAGTTAAATATACTATGGATAAATTTCTTAAGGAAATTCTCTGTAATAGCAATGCAGATGACCTGTTCATTTACATTTATCTTAGATAAGGGGTACCATTCCTCTCGAGTTGCGGGGTTCGGGTTACTAAATAGTAATCCGATGTTCGGGATTGATATTAGAGTTTGACGAATCCATTTGTCGGGTTACCAAACGGTAACCCGACATTCGGGATTGCTCTTCGGTCTTGCTGCCCCGAATGTTTAAAAAATGGCCAAGTATCTGACAGGTTGTCTTGGGTGTAAGAGTATCTTTTCCTATTACAGACATATTATAGTGGAGCATGTAGGCAATAGGTAAGCAGAAGGATATGCAGGAATTTGCCCAAACAATGGAGGTGGTATTTCCAGCCTGGCCCGTGCGCCCAAACTGAGATGCCAGCACGGCATGTTAACAGAATGTGTACTGTACAGTATCGGTTTTGTCAAACATTATCAACCAACAGTTTTAACAGACTTTTAGCTTTAGCGGCAATGGTGTTCCCCTATTAGTCCATTAACTCGAGGGTTTACTGTACAGTAGGGTACAAAATGAAGAGATGTGAAGATTAGACCCCAACTTATTACACCTGATGATTAAACAACCAACCAGTAATAGTACCTGTATGTGGTTATGTTAGAATAGTTAATCTCCAGGTAAAATAAGTGTCTAATCGTCATGTAATCCAAATGAAATTGTGTCACCTTTACATAAGACTGTACTGTATTAATATATGGTTAACATTTAAATTACATTAAAATACAGCAGAATTGTCCACAACTGGTTATCCCAAATTGACCCCCTAGCACCAAGAGAATTCCCTGGGCAATAATGAGGATGGTAGAGGAGTTGTCTTACCGGTGACAAAAGTTTCCTATAAGCCCGACAAACTCAACTGAGCAAACTTGACCTTGAAATACATTCCAAGACCCCAAGTTACAGCATACACAGTGTACAGTATACTGCACTCATACTGTCAATGCTATAACCCATAGTTTCATTAATTTATATATAGAAGAGAAGAGAAAAGAGTACAGTATATTATACTGTATGATGAAAGATTCCCTCTGCAGCTCACCCATGTACAGCACTATACTGTACTATGATGACAAAGCTCAAGTATTATAATGACTTAGTACATCCCTTATCATGATGAACAAGAACCTAATAAGTTTTTCAAACTGTACTTCTGTATTTATTTTTTGCCAGTTATATCAAAGTTTAAAAGTAGCACAACCCTATTTTTGGCATGTGTGTGTGTGTGTGTGTGTGTGTGTGTGTGTGTGTGTGTGTGTGTGTGTGTGTGTGTGTGACCCTTAAAAACCATGCTATATTTTTTGTATTATTACCTGAACCTGTATCACTTTGTATGTACAGCACCTTGGCTTAGATTAACGAGCTTAATTTACCCTTACAACAGGTATGATGCCACTCTAACACTAAACTCTCCTCCCTATTATGTTACTGTTTAATAAGCTGGAGGGGGAGGGAGCTAATCAACAGGTGATCTGAACCAATTAACAAGATAACCCAGTTCTCAATGTACAGTAGCGGTACCCTCCACCTGCTGTTATAGTTTTCCCCATTTCACAGTACTGTAATATGGTTCAATATACAGTACAGTATATCATGCAAAACCTGTGTATTCTGAGGCAGCAAACAAAACACATCACCTGAAGATTAGACACCCTGGCTTATTTCACCCACCATTAAAATCCCTATGTTACCTGGAGGAATTGGATTAAGTTGGCTTTGGAAGGGTTGATATGGGTTATATTAGGATTAGAGTGGCTAATCTTATTTAGGCAATGTAAACTGGGGGTGCTAATCTTCAGGTGATCCAACACGACCATCACACATCCATGATGTGTCCATAAGCTTCTATCCACATTATGAATGAAGATTTCTTGGGAAAAATAAATAAAAATAAAATAATATGATCAAGATGTAAAGAACCTCCCTCAGTCCCTCACCTTAACTTCAACAGTAAACAAAATCCCATCCTCTATATATATATATATATATAAACAACTAAGTCCTCTTTAGCTTGACTCTCAAAGGAAGTTTAACAAGTGTCAAGGGAATGATGCCAATCCATTTCCTGATACAGAATTTTCTAATGGTAACTTTATACTGTACAACTTTAACTCATGAAATGTAAATACAGTAGGAGGGAGAATAAGGCACAGATATATGACCATAGTGATGAATATGTTACTCTGAAGAGCCACACTCTTGTCAGCCGCCATGTTCTAACACAAGCCATGTGGTGGGCTCAACAAAACAAACCTAACTTAACCACTAAACCCTGAATGACATCACAAACACCCTAAACTAAACCTATGTTACATAACCCAACAAAATAGTGGTAATACATAACAAAATGCTCACATCCACAGATATTTCTATAATAGTTGCTTTTTTTATCCAACTATAAAAGATATACTACAGTATAGTATTACTCATTGTATTGTACAGGTATTAGAAACTTTTTGTATTTTCAATCATCACTGAAAACATTTTTCAATCATTTGTGAGGTTTATTATGTTAGGTCTGTTGTATGTGTGTGGTAGCAGCCATGATCCTCCTGACTCATGGCAGTGTGGTAGTTAAGATAGATACAGTACTGTATATGTATAGAGGTAAAACAAGACTATAGTTGCACACCTGAACCACCAACTTGAGGACATTTTTCCACAGCTAAAACCTTGCTCATCTCATGAAGACATAATATGGATGAGGGAAACATTTAGTGTACCTCTACAATATTGGAGTTTTTATCATTTTTCTGTCTTGTATCTACTGTACACTTGTTCAGTCATAAAGTAAACCAACCTAATTCATCTATCCTATAATAACAGTTTTTATCTGTTAACAAAAACAATACAATATAACACCCCAGACGTAACAATGGAGAGCTTTGGCTTTTGGCGCTTCATTACAGAAAATACTGTCCAGTATCATAAAATTATAAACTGCAAAACATATTCCTCATCCTTTTGTCATCCTCCTTATGAGGTAAGAAAACTTCTCTTCTAAGGTTGAAATGTCCTCGAGTTGGTGGTTCAGGCAGGCAACCGTTACCGATAAAAATAGACACATAAGAACATAAGAAAGTGGGATACTGCAGGAGGCCGACTGGCCCATACAGGGCAGATCCCTTTCACACCCATCCCAGCACTTCCATGTGCCTATCCAACTTCGTCTTGAAGCTCCCTAGCGTCCCCGATCCTACTATAGCACTCGGTAGCCTATTCCACATATCCACAACTCTATTACCAAACCAGTGCTTGCCTATATCCTTTCTGAATCGGAATTTATCTAATTTAAAGCCATTTGTTCTAGTTATGTCGTTATTACTGAGACAGACATTGATATTCATTCATTAAAATTGTCATTTTCGCAGTGGTTCATCACATACACACAAACAGTAAAGAGAGAGATATATACAGTATAATATGGATAGGTAAATATTCAGTAAAATCATCATAATAATTCACAAGTTTCTAGCACAATACAGATACAAGTCAACATATGATGAATAACTCAGGTTTACCCAATAAAGGTTTTAGTTAACCATTGGTAATAAAGTATTTAAAGGGCATAAAGTAACTTTTACCTTTTTCCTCCTCACCACGGATCGGCTCGTTAGCTGCCTTTGTTAACATCCAACGAGGCTTCAACTTTTCAAAGTACAAAATACTGCAATATTATGTAGTTTTTTGTTTATAAAATGAAACAACCTAACCTAACCTTAACTCAAGCGTCAACTAACCATTATTATATTATTTAGGTTGGGTTAGGTTAGGTGAGGTCAGAATAATTTTGTAAACGATAAATTACATATTATATCAGTTTTACCAAATGTCAGAAAGGGTTCTCATGATATAAAGCCAGTTTAATACAGAAATACCCAAGCTTAATACACATTGTAAAGCTTAATACATTCAGCTTACCCTCACGTCCATCCCTTGTCCCCCCCCCCCCTCCCCAGAACTATACCTCAAAACTCAATCTATTTATGGATATTTTGGATGGTGGCTTGAATGTAAGGTGTGGTAGTGGCTGGCCTCACAGTACTAGCAGATGAGGAGCCATAGAGTAGAATGTAGAGAGATTATAAGAGAATTACTACTGACAACACAAGCTGGCATGCCTAGACGTGACAAGAGGCTCCTCACTCTTACTTACGTCTTTTACACTTGCATCTTCTTCTACTTCCACCGATTGCTTATCTTTCGCTGTTTTTACCGTCAGGCTGATCTTTTTGGTGCCTTCACTACCTTCAGCCATCGTTAAATAAGGTTATATAGGACGATAACACTCCACAATTGTGATCAATCTGAATGACGAAACATGATGAGTCACATAAGACACTTTATATACATTTTATATTGACATCATAATTAATACCGATATATAAATATACGTGTAAATAAACTTTAGATATTCTTAGAAAATTATGTAATTGGATATTTATTTAATATTTTTCCATATTCAGTTTATCATAGACTTTTATTTGCCTCTGGAGTATAATGTTGGTTCAGTGGCGGGAAATAATGACGTCGTCTGCATGTATTTAAAATTATAAATCATCATTAATGTCTTATTTTATTATAAATGCCTTAGTTTATATAAATTTTCAAAAAATCGTAAAGGATATTGATTCATGATTGTGTGAACTTTGTACGACTTACAAGAAACACTATGGACTGTACTGAAATGTGCGATATACAGTATTGGAATATTTTATAAACTATATATCTACGATACTAATGGACGAGAAATATACATTTTATTTTGTCTATAATGATGAAAAATAAACCAGCATCATTATTATCCTCCATCTTCGTATATTATTAGATTTTATAATACCAAGACGTGAATGCCTTACTTCTCTACCTATTTACTTCTGTAATATAGTAATTTATATTCCTTTTTGGTCAAACTTCCCAAAATTACTTTAATATTAATGAAATGTTTCATTTGAATATTTATTATGTATTATATAACTTGGAAAGACTGATAAATAGTGTTACATCATTTTTTTTGGTACAGGATCAGCTGGTGAACCCAAGACCAAGTCCCCGAATCTCTGAACCCTGTGATGTAAAAAGTCTTATACAGTATTTCTTTTCTTGAAACTTTATTTTTTCTCATATTATTAATATTTATGTTTCTTATGACTAAATGTATTCACATAATAAATGGAAGGATGTACAAAATGCAGATGGCCTTACAAGATGTATGTGAATTAAAGATGCAATGTGTGTTTTCAAGCCCTGCTGAATTATTGATTAATCTTTTATATCATGTTACTAAGATTAGTCATGGGGAATATTAATACAAATAATATGATAAAAATCAATTTCCTTTGTTTAGAAATAAGCTGGATGTGATATTCCCGTAAAAGGGTTCAAGGTTAGGGGTTTGGTAATATTCATTCTGAAAGACGAAAACAAACTGAAATACTCTACTTATATATAACAAGAACAAAATATACCCAAATTTATCAACGATTTCATCAATATTAAGCTTCTCCAAAATAACACATTCAATGTTCATTAGAGACAGAGAATTGAGACGTTGCTAAGACATCGTTGAACGCTGTTCATGTTTTATACGCTTAAACTTCGAGAATGTTTGGATTTGGGGGCCCCTTAGAGTCGGGGGGCCTGAGGCTAGTGCCTCATGGTTAATCCGGCACTATGCCCAGTACTTGCCAACAGTGAGTAACAGAGATGTGACCGACTGCCCAAGCGGCTAACGAGTAGATCACTGGCGAAGAGTATTAAAGCAATACATCTTTATTAAATATGCCTTGGACAAATTCAACACAAAATTAAAGTGAAGTTTATATTTACTGAGTGTTAAATTTACCTTTACATTTACGCAATTGCAACATGATAACTTGATATAAAACTTTAATTTACATATATAAGGAACACTAAATATAATTATCAGTGTTAAATAAAAGCAATTAAATCGGTGTAGTCCGGTAGAGTGGTTATCGGTATTCAGAAGGAAGGGTTCAGTTAGTTGTCTCAAGGACCCGCAGTCAGCAGTAAGCAACACGTATTTCTTATCTCTACCGCAATGTTTAGGCGAAGTTTAACTCGACTGTCATCATATATCGACAAAACAACATGGAGGAGGACTGAAACTTCATATAGTAATGGTCATACTCGAGGGTTGAGGACGACATCGGTCATGCCAGCTTTATTTAATGTACAAGATGAGGAAGACTTCACTGATCGGGTCCTCAAATCATCAACTCCGGTCGTCGTTGATTTCCATGCCCAGTAAGATAATACTATTCCTTTATCTACACCTGTAAGTCATTTATGTCACTACCTCTAACGTTTATGTATAAACCAAATATAAACTCACTGTGGAATCAATACTCAGACAAGTATTAGTATCGTTATCAATAACATCTTGAATAAACACCTTTATAACATTTCTAGTAATATTCCTCAATAATCCCCCACAACTCCAAATCCCTATAACTAAACTTACAATAATCCAGTGATAGATGAACTAATATGCGTGGTGAATATTCTCATACTATGTGTACCGTTATCAGTAAGACCTTGAAACTCCTTGAGTAAGCAGGTATTTTTTGGTCTAGGTTTTAGGTATGTTAAGATAGCTTCCTGATGTCCTCAACTGTCTTGTCATTCTTCTACTCACGTAGTCACATTCATGTACTTATTAATAGCTTAAATTAATGTTTTGGTGTGATGATAGATGTCTGTTCAATAATAACAGGAGGGAGAGATAAACAGATTGACAAATATGTACTTCTTCACTAAAACAGGAGGGAAGATAGATAAATAATTAATCTGTAACAAAAGGAGGATTTTGTATTTTATAGCAAAGAAATATATATACTGTACTATGTATTAGATTACCAGCTACTGTACTTTATGCTACCTTAGGTTTTGTTAAGTTATGGTAGGTTTCTTAAGGTTCATATTGTGAATACAGTGCTACTATAGTGTGTGGTCTACAAGATTAGGTTAGGTTAGATAAATGTTTGTAGACCGCGCACTATAGTAATGCTGTACAGTATTATGTGATACAGGGTAGCATGTATTCCTGAGAAGCATAGTCTTACTCTATAAATATTCTTCCCTTCAAAATTAAATTATCTCTTTGTTTTGTTAATGTATTACTGGATATTTAATTGTATATGACATTCTGCATTTTTTTTAAATGTCTGGACTCTTATAATAACATAGAAGTCCAGACATTCAAAACTTGCAGGACAGGAGTGTTTGCTGCTTTAAAATATGTTCCTCGAATATGCAACATTTGATTTACAGTCGCCTTTTGTAGGGTAAAATTATATGCCACAGCCAGACGTGAGATGAAAACTATATATTTAAATTGTATTAACCCATTTTTTTCTAAACCTTTGTAGAAAGGATTCAGATAAGTAATTTTTCGTTAACCACACATCACATTTAATGATTTTTTCCTCTTGCCATTTAATAGATCTCTTCGAGAAACAAAAGAATACACTTGAATTTAGTGGGGCATTCCAAAAAATAAACGCGATATTCGCGATTTATTTGTTGTAATAATCACAAATTTGTCTGAGTCGTGTTAGGTCAGTACGTCACAACAATAACAGGGAAGCATGGAAGACAGTGATCAAAAGACAGACAGTAAACACCAGCAGTACATGGGTTAGGTGGTGCACGGGTACCATAAACAAGTGACAGTTGATATGTGCGCTTGTAGCATAGAATCCCCAGATTTTTCAACTTCCCTCCTGAATTTTTCCCAGTGAGTCGAACAGGAATAAACTGAATTTTGACCAATAGTTGAACGAGAAAAGGTGCGAAAAATTTTGTACCGCTAAACCAAAATACTTTGCGAAGTGAATGATAGTTAAACAAAGGATACCTGTACTGTACATGTTCAGTATTGTTCCATAACTATGAGTTTTAGCAGTATTTACTGTACACTGTCACATAAGTTTTCATTTTAGGATATGAACTAAGTGAAAGAAAGAAAGAAATGCAAACAAACACATGATGATCAGGCACAACCAGTTTATTTCACTGGATGATTAACACCCAAATGCTAACCTAACCTAATCTAACAAGCTGGCTGTCTAATATTGAGGTGTTCCCATAAGTTAATTAAGGAAGCAAAGATGCCTCACGGAGACTGTCGGGCAGTAGCCAATGGTGACATCATCAACCAATAAAACCTAACTAAAGAATAAGGATCACATGAATATTAATCCCTCTAGTTATTTCATCTTATCATTAACCTCCCTAATGCTACCTGGGGTAGGTTAGGTTGGTTAATTATAAGGTGTATAATAAGTTGGAACTACTCTTCAGGTGATCCAGAAATTATCTTAGATTGTTAAGTTTGGTTAGTTTGTTTCATCTGCCTTTATGAGTGATATGGTAGAGTAATGCCGTTTAGAGACACATCACACTGGATATTATATTCTCATGTTTTTTTCTTCTTCATTAAATACGGAATTTCAGAAGCCCCAGAAAAATACTGTACCTGTACTAAGTCAACAAAAAAATCAGTTTATTTAGCCAGAATAATATTGAACAGATGAAAGTGACCAACAACAACAAAACTATTGACGTGGTTAAGCCTTTCAAGTGCTGTACCTCTCTCCTGTAATGCATTCTCTCAGAGTAAGAAGAAAATACTTGTACGAACGAGGCTGTAAACTGTGATTAGTATATAATTTTTTTTAATCACCTGAAGATTAGTCTTCCCCAAAGTTTATTTTACCTAAATATTAACCACCCTGATGGTAACTTAACCTAATCCCCCCAAATAGTACTAGGGTGATTAATCTTCAGGTCAAATAAGCTAGGGGGGGGGGGTGGTAATATTCAGGTTTTCCAATCTTGTGTGCAGGTACAGTACCGGTAAATAATGCCACGTAACTGCTGAATGGTCGTGTAGCACATTGTAGATTCCCTCATTACTATTATTATGTAACTGGTCCGAGTAAAAAGAAGAATGGACAGAACTTTGACCTTGTTGACTCACACGACACTGAAGTTCTAATTGTGTAATAAACCAACAGGTGAGAGATATTCAACAATAATGAGGAAATATTTGAATGATGGAACAAAGGTGAAAGGTTAAGGATGATGATAGATTACATGAATGAATTGGTATCACATGAAGATTAGACACCCCCTGTTTTTCTCAGTTGATGATTAAACATCCCAAAAGTACCTGGGGGCTCACTTTAGGCTAGGTCAGGTCAGGTTAGGCTAGGCTAGGTCAGGCTAGGTCAGGTTAGCATTAAGATATTTAACCATCATGTGAAATAAGCTGGTGGTCTAATCTTCATGTGATTCCATTTCACTACAGGTTATTTAGATCCGAGGCACTTAATAACAGCAAATGCCGCTGATCATTCTTAACTTTTTCTTTTACAGTTTTGCATTATTATTGTGTTTCCTGTCCTAACTTTGTTTCCGGCTTTGGGTATTATTCTAGATCAACACTTTAATTGTTAATAGGCCTTGTAATTTCAGAATATAAGGAAAAGAAATTAAATAATGAAAATCAACCACCCAATCAGGTTCATAAATAAAATCTGTAGGCCCTGGTTGCAAAGCTCATGTGAATGGAGTATTGTATTGTACTGTACTGTACTGTACTGTGTAGTCATTTGGGCAGTTGGTCTATTCTCTGCTAAAACATTCAGTGTTTGTACAGGAATAAGCAGCAGCACCCACATAAACTCTGCCATGTTTGGTTGCCACACTAGATAACACCCATCCAACCCTGGGTGGGATTAAGCTTGAGATGCCGGGGTGAGGCAAGCATGCTGTTGTTGTACCTCCACCAGAGTTTTTTTACAGTAAGACCGAGATAAAGAGCAACTGACATAAATCAATCAATTGTTCTGACCTACCTCACAGTACTAAGATTAATAAATTGGTAAAGAAATAAACTACAGTACAATTAATAAATTCATAAGTAATGATTATGTATAGTATTAGGATTTTTTCAAAGATAATTTGACCAAAACTAATAAATCTTTCATATATTTAATAAGATCAAGTGATTTAGTTTATATGTATACCCTGTAAAGGAACCATTGGAGTTAACATACCGGTACCCTCATAATTCAGTTAAGTTAATTTTTGTTCAGTAAACTCATCATACAAGTTTATATTTAATATTAAATGTTTACATCTCCACACACTGTAGCAATAGTGTCTCACATCATTTGTGCTCTCACATACAAAATGATTTGTACTGACCGGTAAAATACTCAAACCCTGAAGGTCTGTACAGTACGTATTATTAAAAAACTAATCCAAGATGAAAACTACTCGTGCATGTGATAATTCAGTCAAAAGAGTAAAACATACCATCATCAGAATCCTCAATATGATGTTGGCTTAGTATTAAAGACTGGCAAGAGATTACTGCCTATGTGAGAAAAGTGTAGTAAACTTGGGTCTTAAAAACACCAACATGATGGATAAGAAAATGTTGGTCAGCACAACATTGACAAACTCTACAGTGTTTCTCACAGAAGCACTGTATGGCTGCCTCTGAATAAGGTTGAAATATTGACCATGTTGCCAGGACTATTGATCCCAACATGTGGCTCTGAGACATAGTGAAGCTTGTGTGAGGTATATATGTACAGTACAGTACTGTACTTTACATGACCTGGATAGAATCTGTAGTGGGATCTCATGAAGGTTAGGCATCCCAGCGTATTTCACCTGATGATTATACAGCCTGATACTAACCTAACCTTTATATGGAACACCTGATGACTAAACACCACCGGCTTATTTCACCTGAAGATTAACCACCCTAATGCTAACCAAACTTAACCTAACCCTCAGGTAGTGTTAGGGTGATTAATCTTCAGATGAAATAAGCTCAGGGTTTAATCTTCAGGTGATGCAAAGTTTCTGGAGTTACTTACAGTGGATGCAAGTAACAGGGATACTGTAGAAAACCACAGGTTGATGTGTATAGTAAAGTTAGTGTATTACTTACAGGTGGTGCGGACCGTGTAAGCTGCTTGGCCCACGTCTTGAGACCATTATAGGGGGTAAAGGAGATAAAGTTCACTTGGCAAAAGTAGATATTGATGATGTATCAGACCTGGCACTTGATTATGGGGTGAGTAATACTGTATACAGATGTTTTTTAATATGTACAGGTATACAGTACTGTATAACTTATTTTTTGGTTCTGCAAGGTTATCATACAGGTTCACATTGGTTCAGCATGTTTGTAGACAATCAAGTTATACAAACTGTGTACATAGATAGTGGGTGTATACATGCTGTATATAGACAGTGCAGGTATACAATACATACACCAAGGATAGCAAAAGAAACTCATTGAATGACCCGTGGGGTCTCCATACAGTACAGTACCTAGGCAGGTTACCTAGTTCTGTTCTGGTTGAAGGCATGAATACCTGTTTAACACCAAGTATCTTGCTGCAACTTTAATTTTTTTTAAGGTTTATGCAGGTACGCAGGTAGTATTTAATACCCCAGGGAGTTGCGACCTTGCCTTGCCAGCTATTCCCACTCTGTGGGTTAGTATTAGGAAGGGCATCCAGCCCTAAAATTTGGCTTCAACATGCCTTATGGCAACCAGGTCACCAGAACTGTGCCCATCACTTGGTCTCTGCTACAGTTTATGGGCTGACACCCTGGGTTTGTGGTGGTCAGCTGGGAGGCTTTCAGTTATTGTTTTACCCAACAGTTGCCGTCCAGTGATCTTGGCTAACTCACACAAGCATGGAAAATGGCCGTAAAATGTTGATGATGAATCCAGTTATTAACAGATGATCATAATTTGGCCATCAGTGATATAATAATTTCTGTTATATGATATTAGGGAAGTTTAGTGAATATCTGATATGGTATTTAAGTTAGCTTAATTCTTGAAGGGAATCATTAAATGTTTTTAACATTGTTGTGTTTTGACAGTTGAAATGTTTACTCTAATGGTTTAAGAGTAAATCTTATAGGGAAGTAATAAAATTACTTTAATATTTTAAAGAAGTAATTGTTAAGTTCAAAGGTGTACAGTGTATTCATTGTTTTAATGCAATAAATTTTTTTTTAATTTGTAGTAGAAGATACATCATATATTTTATTAGTAGTACAGTATGTACTCAGTAAACATTATTGTATCAACATAATATCTTTAATTATAATAGAATGCTGAAGGTCAAGAGGTACTGTTCCAAGTAGGTCGAGTTGAAACTTTTTTTTTTTTCGTTATCACCAAAAAATTACCCAGGAACTGTAGTTTACTTATTTGTTCATTGACGTAAGTAAAGTTACCTAATGCTTAGTCACCGAGAGGCAGCCCTGTTATGTGTGATTCAGGTAATTGTAACTTTAATGTCACGTCCTGGAATAATACTCGTCACCTGCCACCTGTACGTCCTTGAGTCGTAAACACAATAGCGCGGACCAGTAGTGACGACTTTTAACCAAATTTGGTAAGTGGATATAACACAAGATTTCAGATGAGTTCAAATCACGACTTTGTTTTAGTGTGAGTCTTAATGGCTGGTGGGCTTTGCCGTTATCCAGGAGGGGACTTGTTCACCTTGAGGCAAATGAACCTCTGGTCTTGTGGCTTTATGAGTAATTGTCAGTGTGGAGCGTTACTGTTCCTTTTACAGAGGTGACAGTAACGTCTAGTTATATTTAGACCAAACTCATATTTCTATCTCATTATATAGTCCAGTACAGGCTTTGATAGTTTACATGTGTTCAAGTATTTTTTCTTGGTTTTGCAAAACACTCTTGGTTCACTTCAAGATTAAACACCTCTAAAACCCTAATTTACTCTAACCTAAGCATCAAACCTAACAGCCTAACCTGACCTAACCCCAGCAGGTAGCATTAGGGTGTTAAATCCTCAGGTGAAATAAGCTTGGGTCTAATCTTGGTGATCCACTCATCCCTACATGGCAGAATTAGGAAAACATCCTCATGTCTCACTAAGTTGTGTCATGGCCATAGTAGATGTGTTGTGTGTTGTCCATCCCTAATCATGCTCCAAGATGTGGTTTACCCTTATTACTTCATTCTTTAAACTCTCCTGGAGAATGTGACATTGAACTGTTGTAGTGACCTGCCAGTGAATGTTGTAAGAGTTGTGAAGGGTTGTAATGACCCGTCAGAGATGTTGTGTGTAACAGAGAACATAGCTACATGTCCAGGTAACAAACCAACTGCCCGACCAGTAAATAACCTGACAGGAGGTGAAGAGATTAAGTGTTGAAACTGTTAAATAGAATTATAAGAGAGAGAGAGAGAGAGTATTGGATAATGCAGATAAATATATAGAACAGGATGATGGAAGATTAAAGAGAAGAGTAATGAAATGGTTTTACTAAATGAGAAAATTAGTTGTGCTGTTGATGAAGGTGAGTACAGTACTGTGAACAAGGTAAGGGAAAGTATGTTAGTGATTTAATAGTTGTTAATTCTCTGGTGCTTTAAAACTGAATATTAATAAAACATCTAGATTAAAATAAGTAAATGTCTGTACTAAATAAATTCTGAGAAAATTAGAGAGAGGTGGAATTTATAATCAATGCCAGAGGATGTTGGCCTCCTTAGTATATCTGAAATTCTACTGGTTGGGTAGCAGAGATCCTCATCTCCCAGCAAATGCCACATAGTGAAGGGCACTGAGCAGTTAGACACTAATCATAGGGATTTGAGGTTATTTTGTAACTGTTTTCATCATCAGTATAATTAAATCTAAGGTGGGTGAGATAAGTATCCTGTGTCGAGGACATGATATAAGTCACTGTCAATACTGTATTTGTCACATCTTGTTAGTGGCCTTCAGTGGTATCCATTCAGATCACACCAGTGAAACTTGTATGTGAGAGTGAGTACAGTAGTGTCCTGTGGGGGAGGTGCCACACACTACACCACCTCCACCCACTTTCTCTGATTGACTAGTTACTTGTCATCCAGCAGACATGTACACACCTATTCTAACCAATCATGATGAGCCTTTTCATTATTGTTTTTAAGATACTATTTGAGTAGTGGATTACATGTCTCCAGAGCCTCGAGTTTGACTTTAAATACAAAATAAATGTAAAATATTCACTTAAATTACAAGTGACTTAGTAAACAAGGATTGCTAAAACTATTGATGTAAGAAAATGAACAGAACTGTACTACGTATATGAACTAAGCTTCCACTGTGAGATTGATGGTATAGTACATGACAACTTTATAATATCTGGAACCATCTATTTAGATCAACACTGATTTTATAAAGGCAGATGAATGTTCGGGAAACATGATATAGGCTTTGGTTCATAGATTCCAGACTTATTACCAGTGAAATGTGGGGTTTCCATAGATTTGACTCATTTTAAATCTTACTAACCTCAGAAATATTACAGATAGAACACTGTACATGAGTAAATCTACTAAGATGAGAAAAAAATATTACAAGTTGGTTATCAAGTATTGTACTGTATGATGTTTTTGAAATTATTATACAGTAGTATTAAGTTTGAAAAATGTGTGTGATAATTTATGTATTGTACTGGAGGTTGCTCATCAAGCACTGCATAATAAAACACTCTGGTTCTATATGATGTTTTTGATGTTACTGTAGTATTATGTTTCGAAATGGGTTAGATAATTAATGAACAGCCTGTACTGTACTATCAAGAGATGGAGTATTAGTACTAGTGGTATCTGTAGTGTGGTTCTAAAGACAGAAGATTTAGCCTGGTGTTTGTATGATCCTCATGCTGTCTTGACATGTTGGTAGTTGATCAGTGATATTAAATTGCAAAATGAATGTATCGTGTGTGTGTTTTTTCTCTAATGTAGGAATTAATAATCAATGGGAAATCTTGTAGACTTGCTTAAGGTTTCAGATGTGTTTATTTTATCTGATAAAGCAAGTTGTGTTGATAATATTAACTGTTGATAATATTAACTACAATATTAGTGTGTCATTTGCACTTACTTTTAGGTGTCTGCTGTCCCTTCTGTCCTGGCTGTAAAAGATGGTAAGGTTGTGGACAAGTTTGTTGGACTTCAGGAAGAATCTAGGATCGAGGCCTTCGTCAATCGTCTAATTGGAGAATAGATAAAAAATAATTAATATCGTTGGAAAATTTGTAATGAACTTAGTGGGTAATATGCAAGTTGTATATCAATCACAGATGGGCATAATGAAGGTTTAAATATACAGGTACTGTATACATTTTATTTCTTTTGGTCTCTTAAGTGTACATTTTTATTGTAAGATACTGTATGGAGGAGAAGTGATTCTATAGATTAATTATGCAAGGTTAATGCACATAATGTGTATAGTGTAGACAAAGAAAGATTGCAGGGAAAATATGGGCATGTTGTGGAAGCTGTAACTGCAAATACTTCCTTTATTTTTATGCACTCTTTTTTAATCTAAGTGGGTATGTACATTTAGAATGTTAACATTACACTTTTCTCATGACATTATGCAATGTATGTTTGTGGATAAATATTTTACCATTACACTTTTCTCTCAACAAGTTTTGCTTTGTACCTTTGTGGACAAAAGTTCTTTTTACCCCGGTTTGAAACTTTACTAAACCCAGATGAGGTAATGCAGTGCTATAGTGGGTAGATAAGCAAATTGGAGACTCCTCCCAGTAGACAGGAGTCTCAAGTATAAAGAGCTTTTGTTCATGACTGTACAAGTAAGTTATTATCATTACAGGTTTTTCTTGATAAATTTTGTGGCTAGACAGTACAGTACTGTACAACACTTACATTATGCATTATACATAACAGTTTGGGCATCCATAGCACCTTTTTCTCTCTTCATTCATAATAAATGAAACACGTCTATGATTCAGTGATCTTTTCTCACTGACTAGATGGGCCTATGTTACAGTCCAAGACATTGTACTTAACATATTTTTTACTCTGCATCTGTGTGAAAATCTTTGTCTGTCTGTACAGAAGCTGTAATTATTGTAGTCTTGAACTGTACAAATAAAAAGTTTTCTTATTAAGAAAAATCAATGTTTTTTTTCTTTTAATGCCACATACAGTACAGTACAGTATACTGCAGCCAAACAAAGGCTTGCAATAGTGAAAAAAAAGAATGTTTGGTCGTCCCAGCCATTTATGTTTGTCGTAATTCAGTACAGTATATTGTACAGTACACTAAATTTTGACCAAACAGCAGTGTAGGAAGCAGGCCTCTTATAGTTTGATGGATACTGTTACTGTATATAACACAGTACAGTTTACCAAAAGAAATATGTAGCTACTGTAAGTGTATTGTCATTTTCATTCTTTCATTCTCCCTACATTCTCTGTCATTGATTATCAGGTAATTTTTTGTGTTGTACTGTGGTGTTTGTCTTCAATAATAAGACCTCGATATATTTGTCTGTACATCATTGTCACAGTACTGCACACAAGGTGTGGTCTCTCAGTGCCTCTACAGTACTCTGCCATTCATCTCAAACTTTTAAACCCAGTGACTGAACTAAATACAAAAAAAATCATAATTACAGATACTGATAAATAGAAGTTACAAGAGCGTTAAGAGGTTATGTCTCCTTAAGGACATAGTGGTTATAAAATGTTCCTGATATCTGTGTGTTTGTTCATAAAAAATTCCTTCCCAGACAATAACTACTGAAAGGCTTTGTGAATCTTTATTACAAGACGGTGCAAGATGAGCGTGATAGTAATTGACATCTTGCTGCTCTAGTTAAGGCTCATGGTCAAGAACAGTCTCACATTATCACCAGTCATAGTCTAGTTCTACTTGTTCTGTCACTAAGATAAACACTTTTTCTCATTCCATAACCCTCCTTCTCCTCTTGAAACACAATTTTTCACCACTCTTTAATCTGGGTCTCTGAATCTATAATGTGACTGAATATTGTAATGATTCCCGATGACTCCAGGTGTGAGACCTGACCCTCCTAAGCCTAAAGGGACGAGGGTATCAATTAATCTATATGCAAATTAGGTGCGGGTGGCGACCTTTGAAGTGTGGTGTCCAAGTGTGTGTTGACCTTCATTAGGGTGCAGACCAGCATCACACACCACCACTACCTGTACCCTTACCTCTCTTCACCACCACCACTACCTCTCCTCACCACCACCATTACCTCTCCTCACCACCACCACTACCTCTCCTCACCACCACCATTACCTCTCCTCACCACCACCATTACCTCTCCTCACCACCACCATTACCTCTCCTCACCACCACCATTCTCACTTACCTGCCATTCATTAACATCTTATAGTATTAATTAAATCTTGTGTTGACAGTTTGTGGGGGTGAGTTATAGCCATCAGTGGGTCATTATAGGTGGGGAAGCCGAGTGTCTGCCAGCCTACTTACTGCCAACAAGGACCTCTGTTTACTGATGAATCCCACTGGAGGGGGGGGGGGTTATATCTCTGTAGGGATGGGGGGGATAGACTGTAGTACCACATATCAAGGACTTTAAACTAGTATATTATACTTGCTACATATACTCGGGGCTAGAGGTGGTACTACATTAAGTTATTACAGGTAACATACTGTAGGTTACGTTACGTTACAATGAACACGATCGAACGCTTGGATTGTCACGACAAAAATCAACACAAGACAAAGAACAAAATTCGCCATCATAATCTTCAAAATATTCCCCGCCTCGTCCCTGTGACATCATCATAATATTCATATCACATTAGCTATTCCTGACGTGTTTGGGAAGGTGGGTCGCTGTGGGGTAATTGAGAGCGGAGTTGTCAAGTAATGTCCTATAAGTTCTTGATATTTACGTATATAAAGTTTTATTTATTTTTTTGGTTTGCTTTTACGGCGGGGGGAGTTTTTAGTAATGCGTTGAAGAAGGTTTAGATTAAGGCGGTGATTTTTTTAATACAAAGAAATTGTGGATGATAATATAAATGTGTGGCTGGAGGTGTCTGGCAACTCATTCTCTTTGGAAATAAAAGGCATCTCAACTGTCAGTCATTCCATTCACACCTTTCCTTCATCAGTGACACACCACCAGCAGGTAAGTCTTTCCTGGCATAGTGACACTTGGCACCAATAAGGAGACAAATTTAACTCTGAAACTCTACCTGTACTACTGGAGGTCCGTTCACTTAACACCAGTAAAGAGACAGAAAATGCATCCAATTATGTAAAAATAAAAATTAAAAAGTTATATCAACAAAGAGTTTAGCAACGCCCAACTCTAATACATTACAGTACATCCATACATAAATAATAATGGTTGCCCCTCGTGTAACGAGGATGGCTGGCCCAAGGGCCACCTGGGCGTGAATTTGTTTAAGGTATAGAAGCTGTCGCCAACACAACAACCACATTCTGAGTTAACGAGCTGCATGACCCAGTATCAAGGAATAGTCAGGGAAGATCGGACAACTCGCCAACTGCACTGACTAACCATTACCCCGGAACATGATCTGCAAATCGATTAACATCCAGGTTCCCAATTACTGCTGGGTAGACAGGCAAATGGCGTGAAGAAACATACATACATACATTCAGAAAACTCGTCCTACAAATTTACAGTGAATCAGCATTCATGACGTAAGTGTTCCTGGTGGACCATTGCTGGTTGAGGATGACGTCATTTGAAACCAGCCAATAAGAATAAAAACAAAAAGTGAACATCAGTCTGGTCATAAAAGTGAAGGTAATAGAGGATAACTTGTTAAGGTTAACTAGATTAACTTTAGTGAGATTCGGTCAGGGTTAATTAGGTTAACTTTGGTGAGGTTAAATTAGGTATGCCTGAACTGTACACGATGAGCCAATTTGAACTTGTATGAAAATTTTACTGAATATCTGTTTACCTTTAAATCCCTACCTATGTAGTCCTTCACACATATACCTACTTACCTATGTAGTCCTTCACACACATACCTACTTACCAATGTAGTCCTTCACACATATACCTACTTACCTATGTAGTCCTTCACACATATACCTACTTACCTATGTAGTCCTTCACACATATACCTACTTACCTATGTAGTCCTTCACACATATACCTACTTACCTATGTAGTCCTTCACACATATACCTACTTACTTATGTAGTCCTTCACACATATACCTACCTATATACCTATCCATTTATTTATCCATTTACCCAGATAATGAACATGGTCCCTCTCGTAAACGTGGTGGTCAGCCTGGTAGCTACCCTCGCCGCACCCAACACACACGACCATTCCCCTACTTTCCTGGATGAACGTGAGTACTGTATCCCCCCCCCCTCCCTTGGCCTCTTTTTATTTGATAGATAGATAGTATTCGCCACTGATCGGCTCGTTAGCTGCTTGGTTGGTCGGTCACATCTCCGTTATGCACTGTTGGCAAGTACTGGGCATGTATTGGTCAAGCCTGGTCTTGAATGAGCTCACACTCGGTGCCGTCACAACACTGGCAGATTGTTCCAGGAGTTCACAACTCTCACTCCGAAAAAGTTTGCCCTCACAGTTTTCTGATGGTGGTCCCCACTCCAGCTGTTGCAAAACCGGCGGTAGATATTTATTCTATATCATCTAAGACGTTAGGATTTTAATCTTATTGTACGATGTATTTTGGGGGGAACACAGAATTTTATTTACCTGATTTCGGGAACCCGTCTGGTCCCCGAGATATGCTAGGGACTGTAAGTTGACTGGAAATGTCCAAAGGAGGGGCCACCAGACTGGTTGGTGCCAGCACTTCGGCACCCTGAGATTAGAACGCCTGCAATTGCCTAGCTTATACTACAGATGGGCAAGGGTGGACATAATTGAGGTGTATAAGCAAATCAAAGGGCACTACTCAGTCGAGTGTCCTTACCTGGAGCTGGCGGACGCTCACCCCACAAGGGGTCACAGCTCAAGGTTGAAGAAGCCGCAAGTCCAGAAAACTGTGAGGGGTAACTTTTTCGGAGTGAGAGTTGTGAACTCTTAGAAAAACCCACCAGAGAGTGTTGTGACAGCACCGAGTGTGAGCTCTTTCAAGACCAGATTTGACAAACACTGGAGTAAGTTCTGATACATTCAGGAGCCGGTACTTGCCAACAGTGCGTAACAGAGACGTGACCGATCGCCCAAGCGGCTAACGAGTCGATCAGTGGTGAAGAGGATAAAAGTAAAAAAAGTAAAAAAAAAAAGCAATAAAACAAATTTAGCTGATAACACTAATAGTGTAGTTAGCCCTTATAGCTTTACGTGTTCTCTAATATCATCCTCACAAAAAGCGTTTTATGGGGAACTACAGCATAAAAATATAATGATGCACACTACAGTAAATGATAATAATTACCCAATGGGCCATGGCTACCCCAAGTGGAGGTGGTCGTATGGGTATAACATAGTACTATAGCTGACAGGTGATATATTTCTTTGCTGTGTTGTGTCTCTGTTACAAAGCGTGTTGTCATTTGGGGTTTCTTTGTCTGAGCGACAGAAATTGGGCAGTGAATTCGTAAGATTATCGTCTTGGTGATGTGATTGTGTAAATCGAAATAGCATTTTTGCTGTTATTCGCGATTAAAGATTGAAATATTCTTTCTACCTGACCAGAGCCAAGCTGTGTGAGTACAGCCGTAAAACCAATGTCATAATGCCGAAATTTATACAGAAAGTTTAAATTAGACGTGTCCATGGCTGTGATTGACCGTCCATAGGTCGACCAGAAAGTTTAGTACTGTACTGTACCTTCAGCTAAGAGAAGTCCTTAGTGATAACAGTGACTATTGTGGAAACTTGAAAAAATGTGGTATAAATTGGAGGAAACAGCAGGCAGGAGTGCCTTGAAGTAGCGTGGAAACAATATTGGTGCCACAAACAAAGAAATTTTTCTGTTTTATTTAGAACTGTGATTGTGCATATTATCCACCATTGATAGGAGGATCTCGTGTGGCGAGGATTACTTTACGCTCGCCCCACAAGGGGTCACAGCTCAAGATTGAAGAAGCCGCAAGTCCAGAAAACTGTGAGGGCAAACTTTTTCAGAGTGAGGGTTGTAAACTCTTG